AATCCAACCAGAATTTTGGTTATTCAAATTAGAATTCTGGTCACTCTTAATAGAATTCTGGTTCGGGTATTTGTAATATTATTAGTCTGCTTAGACTAACCAGAATTCTGGTTAATCTCATTGTAATTTCGATTACTCTAATTAGAATTCTGGTTTAGGGTATAAATAACATTATTCTCCTGATTTCGTAAACCAGAATTCTGATTATTTAAATTAGAATTTTAGTTACTCTAACATAATTTTAGTTAGACTATTCAAGATATTATTAGTTTGGCTTTGGTTAACCAGAATTCTGGATATTGAAATTAGAATTCTGGTTATTCTTACTAAAATTTTGGTTATTTATATTAGAATTTTGGTTACTTCAACATAATTCTGTTTAGACTATTCAAGACATTATAAGTTTGACTCAGATTAACCAGAATTCTGTTAATTCAAATTAGAATTTTGGCCACTTTAACAAGAAATTTGGTTTCTCTATCTAGTATTCTGGTTATGGTATATATAACATTATTAGTTTGTATAGATTAACCAGAATTATAGTTAGCTTAACTAGAATGTACTGTTAAATATAGTTTAGCATATTTTTTCAGTACAAACCATTTGTTCTAATTTAACCAGAACTCTGGTTTTTTAATTAACATTAATAACGTCTTAAGAATTTCTAGTTGTAATAACAATAGTTTTGTCTATTTTAAGTAATTTTTGTTGACTCTGGAACAAAAATGTTCCAGAATTCTGGTTAATGGATATTTAATATATTGTACTTTTAATTAGATTAATCAGAATTTTTTATTAATTTATCCAGAGTTCTAAAAATGATAAAAATAAATTTTATTTTTGCTATAACCAGAATTCTGGTTAAAAATGGAATTCCAAAATTCTAAATTTATTACAATTTAACTAGAATTCTATATGGTTTTTCGTTCAGAATTTTTTGGAGTTTAAATATTATTCGAGTGTTATTTAAAATTTTTTTTTTGATAAAATTCTTTATTCTTATTTTTAATTGAAAAATTTTTACATATTCTTTGCACTTTTCTTCTCCTCTTCGCAATTTTTAATTACTTTGCCAACATTCTTGTTTTGAAATTTGTTAGAAAAATATATTTCTGATATTTCTTTTAAAATACAGGAATTTAATGATTTTAGGGCCTAGATGGCACCACTCACTGGGTGGTTACGAAGAGAAAATATATACAGATATTATTTAGAGATTTCGATTAATGTATAAAATAAAGAAATTTCTAAACATTGTCGAAGGAAAATTAATTTTTTAAAATATTTTTTTAGTCGAAACTTTTTTTCTAAAATAAAATAGTTAGTATTTTCTTAATAATTAGTTATAATAATATATAATAATAATAATAATAATAGTAGTAGCTAGTAATATTATTAGTAATAATTATTAGTAATATTAATTTAATTAATTAATTTAATTTATTAATTAGTAATATTATTACTAATTTCAATAAAACAAAAATTCACCCCAAATATTTTATTGCGCAAAACCAATTATATTTCCAACAAATTTAGATTATTAGCACTCTAATAAATTTATAAAAAAAACAAATATCGCAAAATGTAGATCTGAAAAATGGCGCGAACACACACGATAGCAAAATAGTATATATATAGTAGGGAACTTAGAAAACTCTTGATAAAACAGCAGGAGTTGTGTAATAGGACAGAGTGTCCCTTTTTTCGCCCTAAATGTCCACCCTCCTAAAAAAAGAAAAGGATACGGGAAACTCACATACAAGACATACATATATATATGTATATGGTTTGAGTGAAAGAGTGTGTTATTTTTTCCGAGGCATTAAGCTTTGCTTTCGTGGGGTATCTAAGTTTAGGGGGGAAGGGGAAGTGGGAGGGGTGAAAAAAGGGGGGAGGAAGGGGGTTTATCTTTGATAGGGATGAGGTATAGTTTAGTTTAGGGATTCCAAATACGAAACACAGTCAAGCACTACTGGCGTGTTCGGAGCCCTTCGTCGCCGTTTGACGATGGCTTTCATGGGAAATCTTTCAAAGGAATCGTTATAGTCCATGAAAACACTCCTTGGTGAATTGCCAAAATTTTTTTTTCTTTCCTTCCTCTCTATATATATGTATGTAAGAATCCCTCCTAAAGTAATTAAGAATTCCTAGAAAGAAGAACTTGGCGGTGGGGAAAAAATAATTATTTTTTTTTCCTTGATTCAAAAGAATAAAACTCTGAATTATTATTTTCCAATTAATTAATCACTTATTAATATTAGTTTTTAAGTAATTTTAATTATTTACTAAATTAAATTATTAAAAATTTCTACTAATTTTTACTCATTCAAAACTTAGCGATATTCAATTTGAAAAAAGGAATTCACTGTTTTTAATTTCAGTCCTCTTATTGTGTTGGGGGAGGATTTAAATTCCTAATGTTATTGAAATAAAATAATATGCACCCCGAGAAAAAAAAAAATTGAAAAATACTGATTAACATATTTGATTTTTTCTTCCTTATATAATGTTGTTGAATAATGACGTTAGAGCATTTTTTTCATTTATATATATATAATACTTGAGACAGTGCCTGGGAGGCTGTCAACGATTCGCTGGGTTCGCATAATAAAATATACGAAAGGGTCCTGCCCGCGAGGAATATGGTCGCGTCTTTTTCGTTCTCTTTGGCAAATGCAAGATCGAAGGAAACGGCCTCCTTACAATCACAAATGTGGAGTCCGCGCGCTTAGCAATCCATTTCTGCAGGTTGAAAACACAAGGAGAGGCGAATGTTATATATTCCAAGTCTTTTTCTTTCTCTCTCTCTTTCTCTCTTTGCCTTGACGGTTCATCGGCTCACTCTCTTTCTTTCTTTCTACTGACTTGTTCGAATTTCGAAGAGACAGACTTGATTTCCATTCATTTATTTTCGCCGCCATTTCACTGATTGCCACCGCTCCTTCTTGTCTCCACCCTAGAAAGATAGAGAGAGAGAGAGAGAAAGAAAAGAAATGATAAAAAAAAACCTTTCACTCCTTTTGCCCACACGATTGTAGGTCTCTTTTGTGATTCTTCATACAAATTTCTTTGGTTTCACACTTTAATCACTAAAAGTGCTACTCTCCATTTTATATATACATATATATTTGTATATTCTCCTTTGGGTCAAGTGTTTGGGTAACCTATCGTCACGCCTTTTCCCCCTTTATTTTTTTGTCGCATATTTCTTTTCATCTTCACTATTGCGCTCGTCATATCCTCGTTCGTCATCTTCAGGTTTGTTCTTGATGTTTTCCCTACTATAGACGAAAAGGGACCTTTTTGCGGTCCATTGACTCGTTTTTCATTAGCCCTCACATATTTTTCTTGATGAAAACGCACCATCTCGAGCAGATATATATATATATATGTGTGTGAGTAAATATTTATATCTCATCGTGTGTGAGAGAAAATAATTTTCCTCGTTGATTGTATTTTTAGTGGTTATCAAAAAAAAAATTCCTTCTTTTTCTTGATTATGCGGTTTTCTTTGATGCGAGTAGATTTATCATCTTTGTCACAATTTCATGGACAATTTATTTCATAATTCTTTTTTTAATTTCGGTTTTTTTTTAGAAAAAAGAAAAAATAATTTTTTTTTATTCTAAATAATATATGTAAAAAAAAAAAAGAATTAAAAAACCATTTTATTTTTTTTGAAATTTTTATTTTATTAAATAACAATTATTTTATGTTATATAAAATAATAATAATAATTGAAATTATTTTACAAATGCAAAAGCGAAAAAGTAAATCACTAATTCAAAAATTACCCGTGTAGAAATTTTCCTACCAGGTAGTTAAAATTTTTACTAATTCAAATTTTAAAAGTAAACAAAATGTACTCTCTAAATCTGAATTAGTAAAAATGTTTACTAATTTGAATCAGTGACTCACTTTTTGCTTCTGAATGAGTAAAATTTTACTAATTATTAGTAACTTTTATTAACAATTAGTAAAATTTAACTAATTCTAAAGCAAAAAGTAAGTCTCAAATTTAAATTAGTAAACATTTTTACTAATTGAGATTTAGAGAGCACTAAATATTAGTAAAATTTACTAATTCTTAGCCAAAAACTAGTGAAAAATTACTCAATATTAGTAAACATTACTAAATTTTAGTAAGAATTACTAAATATTAGTAAACTTTACTCAATTTTTGTAAAAAAAACCACTAAATATTAGCAAAATTTACTAATTCTTAGCCAAAAACTAGTGAAAAATTACTAAATATTAGTAAACATTACTAAATTTTAGTAAGAATTACTAAATATTAGTTAACTTTACAAGTTCTTCGTCAAAAATATAACTAAAAAAATAATCATTTATTTAGAGAGCACCTGACAAAAAATATTCTCAATTTGAACGGATTATTTTCGCCTTTTCAAAATTCCTTTTAAATTTTCCTCTAAGAATGAGAATATATATTTTACTTCCACTTTTGGAATCCAAAGTAGTAAAAATCTCTATACTAACTGAATTAATAATAATTGTCCTTTTGCATTTAAATTACAGTTATATTTTACAAATCCGTTTAGTAAATTTTTTTTTACCATTAATTAGTTTAATTTTACTATAATTGAAAAGCACAAAATCCCGTGTAGAAATTTTCCTACCAGGTAGTTAAAATTTTTACTAATTCAAATTTTAAAAGTAAACAAAATGTACTCTCTAAATCTGAATTAGTAAAAATGTTTACTAATTTGAATCAGTGACTCACTTTTTGCTTCTGAATTAGTAAAATTTTACTAATTATTAGTAACTTTTACTAATTACTAGTAACTTTTACTAACAATTAGTAAAATTTAACTAATTCAGAAGCAAAAAGTGAGTCTCTAATTCAAATTAGTAAACATTTTTACTAATTCAGATTTACAGAGCAAGAGAAAACTAAAATTAATCCAATTTAGAATAAAAATTAAACTACAAGAAAATAAAAACCGAATTGGCAATAATATTTTCATATTTTAAATTTACAGAATTCAATGCAGATCAGGAGAAACTGGAAAACAGGAAAAATGAGGTAAGAATTTATATTATTTTCTAATTGATAAACAAACTTGAGAGTCATTTAAAGAAGCAATTAAATTTTGTTTTTTTCCTTCTGTAAATTAACAAAAAAAAACAGATGAAAAATGAACGTATCGTAGATTTGACCTCTCATATAGAACATATTTTTTTTAATTCTATTATATATTTCTTTGAAAGAGAAAATAATTTTGTAAACTCGGGAGACTCTTAAAAAAATTTGCACAATCTCTTGGGACGATGTGAAATTTTTTTTTTTTTTTTTTAGAATTTTCCAAGATTCTTACATGAATTAGCATTGATAATAAGGCTTTAGCATAAGAAGCCCTGATTATTCTGCCTTGAGCAAAGAGAGGTCTTGAATATGAAATTAAATAATCTTTCTTTAGACGGTTTTCTGCGAGAAGAAGTTTCTCCCAATTTTTTTTTACTCATTTCTAAAATTCTAATATACATTAACATCACGTGTCATACACATTTTTTTTTCTCTATTATTTCATTCTTCTAAAATACTTTTTTTATTTTTATATTATTACTAAATATACCAATAAATAAAAATAATTATATAATTTAGATGAAGATTCTTTTTAAACAAAAAAAATTTGATTGGCTATTTTTATTATTCACAAAAATTCTGTTGAAAAAAGAAACCACCCTCTATAAAAATAGGAAAATTTTATTAAAAATCAATCCCTGTCAAACAGTAGGTTGAAAGTTCAATATCGAGTTCAAAAAACGGAAGATTATATATATATATACGTCACAGTGTGGTTCATTAATATAACCGTCCTGTGCGAAATGTGTTCCTGGCAAGAAAAGTCACGTATCCTAAAATAAATGGGTGATGAAGGGTGAGGGGGGAGGGGGAGGGGGTGCTTGGCAGGCCTGACATTAATGGCAGAAGTGGGACGCATAAAGTACGAAAAGCCATGGAAAAAGGCAATTTATGACACGAGCAAAAAATAATGGTATGATAATGAAACGAAACGAATATACACGCGTGTGTATATATATATACAGAAGAAGGAAAAATGAAGGCGACTTTTTTTTTATACATGTATGTGTGCGTCCATCTCATTTTATTCACTTCGTGTGTGAATGTTTTTTTTTTCTCTCTTCTTCGCTTAAGTGCCTGTGGCGTGTGTGTTGGTCCATCGTGCGTGGAGGCTGCACTAACTTCCTCCCCAAAACAAGCGGCGAAAAAAAAAAAATAAAAAAAAACGCTCACCACGTATGGGGATGACTTTACACATACATTCACAAAATACACACATTGAGAGAGAAAAAAGAGAGAAAGAGAGAAAGATGAAGCGCACGGCATTACCCAAGAAGGAGGAAAAAACAAAGTTGAAGGAAGTTGATGAGAGGAAAAGAGAGACAAGACTGCTGTATGTTGGATAAGGCGAAATCCACGCTTATGAGGCAGACACGAAGACAAAAGCCTCCATTTCGAAGAGCCAATATACGGTCGAGCTGCAATTCGATATAAATGCATCTACACTGCTCGTAACCCGGGGGATGACGGGATTAGAGGGTTAGTCCAAGGACGTTTGGGTGTGTTTTTTTTTTTTTTTTTTTTTTCTTTTTTTTTTCTCCTCTTTTCCGGATCCACACAGAGGACGATTGGATGAGTCTGTGACGTCACGCAGATTAACCTCGGACCTCGTCGTGCCTCATTGGTCGACAGCTAAACAACGCGATTAGGAAAGTCAATAGAAGATGAGATTGGGAAAGAAAAAAAAAAAAAAAGCGGGGAGTCGAAATATATATATATAAAAAGCAATACCATTCTCTCGATGAAATTCATTATTTTTCTTAATATAGAATGTGACCCCATTTATGAAAATGTATATTATATAAAGTAGAAAATTCTGATGGGGTGTGTGTGGGTGACAGTATATAGTAAAATGTTTATATATATATATGAATAATGATTTCTTTAAAAAAGAGATTTGAAAATTATTTTTACTTTGTTAGATTTATTTGGAATTATTGTTGAATTTAATGAGAAAGATCATAAATAATTGAATAAAATAGTAGAAAATAGATTTAAATTTCCAATGAGTAAAAAATATATCTGTGCGAATAAAAAAAAATTTTTGTAATATATGCAGAAATTAGCATATTTTAATTAGTAGAATATGTTTTTATTAATCGTGAATATTCATTTCAGTAGTAAAATCGATTTAAGTCAGACGTGGTTTACATTTTTCTCAAAGTGATATAACATTATTTAAAATATGTAATATGTAATATTACTAGTAATAATTTTATGATTGACTAATACGAATTTCGTAAACTTTGCAATAATTAATAAAAAAAAAAAATTTCAGTAGTTACATCACTTTTTAGTCAGACATGAAATATATTCCTCTACTTGTAATTTCGTTATTTCCATATAGAACCTTCAATTAAATAAAATTAAACAATAATAGTAATAATTATAATATATTATAAATATAATAATAATTAATATAAGTTATTATTAATATAAACAATTAATATAATTATTATATAATTATAATTATCTAAATTTATATAATTATATATAAAATATAATTATACAAAACAATAAATATATAATATCAGTGAATTTAGTTTACGTTTACGTGAATAAAAATAATTTAAAAAATAAAAAAGAGAATGTACATATATATATTTAAATAAAACATTACGTCTGACTTAATTCTGTCATAACTACTGCAACATACTTTATTTGATCGCAATATTATATGCAGGTAAAAAAAAAAATTCTATTATTTACATTCGAAAATCTTCTTAAATAAAAGAACGAAAAATTTAGATTTTGAATTATAGTTGTCATTTTTAATATTTATGAAAGTTTACAAAAAAAGAATCGAAGAATGAAATAAAGAACATTGTCTGACTAAAATCGACGTTTACTACTTAATTGTCCACTGAAACTCAATTAGCATATTTTGAGAATCAAATCAAAATTTTATTCTATTGTAATTTAGAATATTATCTAGAATTCCAGTTATTTTAAATTCTTTGATTCAAAAAAAAAAATTATCTTCGTTTCAAAGAAATTTTTTATTTAATTCAAAAAATCTTGTTTCTTTCAATATCAATGTTAGAATTTCTTTGATTTAATGCACAAATTTTTTTTGATTTTAGAAAAATTTGTTTCATTCTAAAAAAATCTTTTCTCCAGGTGATATATATATAGTTTATTCATATTCTGGATTTCTGATAATTTTATTGAATTAATTCAAAATTTCCAAAAATAATTATTAAAATTTTGTCCTATAAATACAAATAATTTTTCGTCTCGTTGATTATTATTGAAAAAAAGGAAATAAAAAAAATTGCCTAATTTCAATCTTCCCTCTCACAGATATACATTACACCCATTAATATTTCAAGTAAACCCTGATTCTCGCAGAGTCTATATACTTTTTTCATTCCGCGAGATACACACAGACTATAAATATGCCTATATTACAAAAGAGGAGTCGAAAGCAAGTTTTAATATTCCCTCCCCTTTCAATATATATATATATATATATATAACAGAGAGTGCGTTGAATAAAGTACTCGAAGGGAATAAAGTATTCAACTGTCTAGACTAATTAAAAACTTGACGAGGAGAGGGAGGAAGAAAAAAAAGTTTTTTTTGCCAATAAATAAATTTTCGAAAAATTTATAATCTGCCTTAAAATTGAAACATTATACTGAAAAAAAAGGATTTTGCAACAAAATCGTTTAGTTAGGCAATTTTGTTTTTTGTAATCTTTTTTGGTTGACTCAAATATAGATTTTTTTGGTTGGCCCAATCAAATTTTGGTTGCTCTGTTTAAAAATTTTTCTCAATCGCGCAGGCAATTTACATATATCTTGTTATCTTGAGATTTGACCATCATTGCGGAGGGAAAATATATACTTAGAACTGTTGGCATTAACAATCGCATTAAGCGAAGTAAACAAGCCATACTTGGAAACTTTGCCTTACTTTGCGACTGCTCGAGGGCACACGGGCTCATGAACCCGGAGAGAAAGAAAATGGCCGACCCGCCATTAATTAATAATAGGACCGAGTGGAGTCGCGACTGGGCAGAGAGAATCTCTCTCTCTCTCTCTTTCTTTTTTCTCTTTCTCTTCTTCACCCCCTCACAAACCACCCCTTTTCTTATTCTCTCCTTCGACTTTCTTTCTCTAGATTTCTTGCCCTCTTTCTCTCTCTCTCTCTCTCTCTCTCTCTCTCCTCCTCTTGTCCGATGAGGGTGGGTCTCGACCGATGGTCGGGGGTTTGGAACGGGGAATGGATTTTATGCCCAGAGCGAGATATATGGCGGCCGCTACGCCCGGGCAAAAATAATATTAATATCGGAAAGGAAAGGAGGGAAAGTTTCGCAGGCTGACTGGCCCTACTGCTTTGGGCAGGGGATATCAAGTATAATCATAATAATAAACGCCCGAGCGGGGCGCCATTGCTGCCTCTGCCACCCTCTATACCCAACACTCCCCCCTCGACCATACACACACATATATATATATATAAAAATTCACATTTAGACACCCAACTATATTACATACACGCTCGCATCATGAGCACATATAAACCCACCCCACCCCAACACGACAACTTATATATATATATATACTTGAGGATTAGATTAGCTTCCACCGGCTTCACTGCAAAGGCTTATATGCCGAAAGCGGCAAACAAAAATGGCTCGCCCGCATTCGCGAAACGGCAGAGGGATTCGCGAAATCTCGTTTTCTTCCTAGTTACTTCGCCGGCTTTTTCTCGTTCGTGCGATCACATTTACGTCTTCTATACATGCCTTCTTTTATACAATGTGCGCATTCTCAATATATATATATATGTTCATGTGCTGTATATATATATGTACATGGCTAATATGTGTATATGTACACATGCTTTATTATCCGGCACATAAACCCACCCCACCCCCCTCCTATCCCCCTCTTCGCCGAACGAATAACAAGACCTTAATCACGTGCTGTACA